AGTAAAACCCAAAGGTGAACACAAAATCTTAATATCACATATTTGAAGTTACTTATTTTTTGTTCAAAACACAGGACAGAGAGCACCCCACACATGTGTGATACCATTTATTAAATAAATAAAGTTGTGAAAAAGAGTAAGTACTACTCACAAACCACAAATGCTTGCAGCAACAACTGTATCATCGGCCACTTCCCAGTCAGTCATAGGATCAGTGTCTCACTCCAACAGGTAGAACATTGGCTCATGTCTGAGCTCAGGCCCGGATTCCCCACAAGGCCACCGAGGCCCGGCCTCGGGGCGGCAGGGCGCAGAGGGGCGGCTGCAGTGTCCTTGTGGGGAAGTTGCCCTCTCTACATTCAGTCCTGCTTTGCACAAGCAGGACTGAATGTAGAGTGAGGCAGCCGATTTTTCGTTTACATCAAGTGAAAAAAACCCAAAAACAATTAAATATATATAACAATTAAAAAAAACCTTGTGTGATAGCAATAAAGTTAGGTGGAAAAAAAAATGAAATTGATTAAAAAAAATATGAAATAAAAATTTAAAAAAATATGAAATAATTAAATTAAAAAAATAAAAAGGTGATTAAAAAATAATAAGAAACAAATTATTAAAAAAGAAAATGATTATAAAAAATAAACACTAATAAGATAAAACAATTATAAAAAAGTAAATAGAAATCTAAAAAAATCACTGTATATCAAACTGTTGCCTTCAACACAAGGCCAAAGACTGTTGACACAGGCCCTTACTCAGAGGTGTAACTAGAACCTTCAGGGCCCCGGTGCAAGAAACCATGAAGGGCCCCCCCAACCCCCCGCCGCCATGGCACTGTATGGTTAACAGGACGGCTGCCGATGTCGCCAGCAAGCACAAGACCTCAGGCAGCCGCTTCAGTTTAAAAATATAGTGTCTGTGTTTTGTCGAGAACGCCCACCCAGTATCTGCATTTGCGCACAGACGGGATTAACGAGGAAACCGGCATTTATTGACAAAGTATTCGTTTGTAATGGTTAATTGTGACCGTTAATAATATGCCGCCCATGGCAGTAAATAATAGATGGAATATTATTAACGGTCACAATTAACAATTTAAACTAGGGATGCACAGATACTTTTCGAGTACCAGTGCCGATACTTGGCATTTTTATGGGAACTATCAGGGTTGCAACGGTTGCAGCTGGGGCCTAGCTCTGGCGCTCCACCTCTGTCCTGAAATCGTTAGTCTCGTTAGAAAAAAAGACTCGTTAGAAAAACTGTCACATGACAATAAACAAAAATGTATCAGTACTCGTACTTGTAAGTACTCGGCAAGTACCAGTACTCGTACTCGCAAAACTGGTATCTGTGCATCCCTTTATTTATATTTATAAAAACAAAATCGTACATTAAAACAGAGATGTACAAATCCCAGGAGCTCCGTGTGCTCCTTACAAATGAAAGCGGCCTCCTAATTTTTGAATTTTTCTCTAGTGTAGTCTTGGAGCTCAAAAGTATCGGTACATGTACTCGTACTTGTACTGAGTACTGTACTTGGTATCTGTGCAACCCTAGTTTAAACTAAATGCTTGCAGTGAAGCATCCGACACATTCAGCCCAATTCAGCGTCCAATACATTTTGCCCAGAGACATTTGACCCGGCCCTCCCAGCCCGCAGCATTGGACACATTGGGACCGCCCCTCCCAGCCTGCAGTGTCAGAGACATTTGGTGCGCCCCTTCCAGCCCTCAACATTGGACACTTCTGGCCCACCCCTCCCAGCCTGCAGTGCCAGACACATTGGGACCACCCCTCCTAGCCTGCAGTGTCGGACACATTGGGACCACCCCTCCCTGCCTGCGGTGTTGGACACACCGCCGCGCCTGAAAAGCCGGGAGAGCCAGGAAGCAGGTAGTTACTACTGGCAACCTAAGTTATAATAGAGGCATGCACACACATGTATGATGCTTAATCTTACCAGTCTGAGCTATGTTCCTCCTCTGACTTTCTCTCACAGTTTTTATTTGTCTGACTTAGCCAATCATTCTTCCCCCATGGTGACTGGGAAAGTGGGATATGTAATATATTATATCACCCCTCCCCCCTTATGGGCTTGTTCACACCAATTACAGTGCATTCCAGGACGGTTAGCTGCTGGAACACACTGTATCGCATACTAAACTCCCTCCTACGTTCCGGATGCATGCTGTATGCACTATTTTTTACAATCGCGCTGGACCAAAACGCAAGCATTGTTGCGCCACGTGTTCTGTTGCAGGCGATTCCACTGCGAGCGAGGAGGGGAGTAGCTGCGGGACCATTAACTTGAATGCATCGCCACACCTCCTCCCTCCCCAAAATGCAAGGGGGAATTTAGTATGCGATACAGTGCGTTCCATTGGAACGCACTGTAATTGTTGTAAACAAGCCCTTACAGTGACCATTATATTATGTTTCTAAAAACCCAGTCCCAGTATGCATTTTATTGTGTTTGTTTTTCAAATACAGGTGGGGTTTTTTTTCGTTGAAGATCTCATCGAGGTTGTTATTTGAAAAGTAGATCTTAACACAAAAAATTGTGGGCACCCCTGGCCTAAGAGGACCAGGAAGTGGATAATATACAGTAATTGTAAGTAAAAGCAAAAAAATGTTTGTTTACCTAATGAATGTAATGTATGATTTCATATCAGCATGGAGAGCTGCACACTGATGTGATTTTTAGTGAAAGGCGGTAGAGGTCCGCTTTTAGCTCTACTCAGGCAAGCTCATTTTACAGCTGCATGCTTTCCTATGTAATATACAGTATATAAGTATTTTTTTTATAGCTAAGCTACTGGATCATAACAAAAGTTAAAATGATCAGCTGGCTGTTAGTCATGGACCCCAGTTATTGTAGATTCATGTACTTTAATCATAAAAGCTCCAGGACTTAGGTGAAGTATAATTTTGCTGTCAAAGGCAGCAAAGTCCAACTCTGTTAGAACTGTATGTCTGTGGCAAGTCCTGATCAGTAGCCTCCCAGCAGCACATTTAAATACACTGGTCAAAAACACACACACACACAAAATCACATTTGAAAAGTTAAATTCTCTTATATTAGACCCCAGCTTCCAGCCAATTTGCCCAGACATGGGTGACATCAGCCTTCTTGCTGGATCCTAAGAAAGCTGACAATCCTAAAACTTACGATGATGTCCTCCATGTCAGATTTGGGATACTTAGCTTGAGTGAGTGATGTCACCCTCACATAGGAAAAGCGGGCAGCAGTCTAAGATGAATATTTTTTTATTTATTTTTTCCTTTTACTGGTGATGGACTTTTGGGGTGTTTTTAACTAGTATTAAAAACCAACATAAGGAACTATTAAACCAACATAAGGAACATTCTTCTCACTGACCACCAATGGAAGGATCATTCTTCTCACTGACCACCAAGGGAAGGATCATTCTTCTCACTGATCACCAATGGAAGGATCATTCTTGCCACTGACCACCAATGTAAGGATCATTCTTCTCACTGACCACCAACGTAAGGATCATTCTCCCCACATACCACCAATGTAAGGATCATTCTTGCCACTGACCACCAATGTAAGGATCATTCTTGCCACTGACCACCAACGTAAGGATCATTCTCCCCACATACCACCAATGTAAGGATCATTCTTGCCACTGACCACCAATGTAAGGATCATTCTTTCCACATACCACCAACATAAGGAACATTCTTCCCACTGACCACCAATGGAAGGATCATTCTTCTTACTGACCACTAATGGAAGGATCATTCTCACATTGATCACCCCTGTAACAGAGTATTCTATTTCTCTCAAGCCACTAACTTCATTTCATGAGGTAAAGATCCAGCACCTCACCCCTGCCTCTCTTTGGACGTTACAGATGAATATTATTCCCCCCTCGTTATTATTTTTGCAGTATGCCGAATCCTGTGCCGCCATTTGCTTTCCTCACATCATTAGGGTCCAGCTGCCTCCCTTATGACGCACATCATCTGGGGTTCAACAGCAAGAACAAGCAACAGACAGCTGGCCCGCTGCTAATGCGCAGCAGAACATGTGCGTCATCAGGGAGGTGGTTGCAGTTACCCAGAAGAGACAACCGGCAGGGCCGAAGCTGGGGTGAGCAGGAGAGTATGTGCCCCGGCATCGTATTAGGAGGAGCACCACCGAAAGGGTTAGCAACCAACTAGGGATGCACCGATATTGGCCATTTTTATGAATACTCGTGCTTGTGAAAATGCCCCGATACTAAACACTGACATCGGCGCTTTTCATTGTAATTTTTAAACTTAAGCGGCTGCCAGAGGTCCCCTGCTTGCTGAGAACCTCGGCAGCCTTCCTGTGAGCAGCGTCGGCTGCACATCTCCTCCTACTTCCCAGGGAACCACTTACAGCGCTTCTACTGCCCACAAGACCCTCCGGACCCCTGGTGAGATCCCGCATAGCCGACCTAGGAGAATACTGAGGTAAAATAATTGAGGAGGGTTGTTTTTTTTTAATATTCAATTTTTATTGAAATAACAAATTGTTAAGACAGGACCAGAACAGTTTCTGGTGCAGGCAACAAGTGATAAAACAAACACATATGTCTGCTATTCAACATTCTAGAAAAGTTGCATTACTCGCGCGTCTGCACCGTAAAGAGACAGAGAACGATCAGACCAAATAAAGGGGGGGAATTAGTGAAAAAGGTCCAGACTCCAAGGTTGGCGGGGAGGAATGAATGGTGAGGGTTGTATTCCAAGCACCAGACAATGTGGCCATTTTATTTTATTGTTGTTTGGGGGGATATTTTACATAACCATAAAGGCGGACTGTCCCCGGTCATGACTGCCTGGAAGTGCAACCGCCCAGTAGCTGTGATCACTGTACACACATGTCTCTCTATAGCGTTCATTGAGGACTCCAGTGTGTCTGAGTACACTGCATTGGATGGGAGGGGATTGTACGAAGTGTCCTCCCTCCTCTTCCATCTTCTCCTCCCACTCACACAGCGATTCCCTCAGGCGGCGTGTCGGTTCTCTCGGGTCCAGGTCATAGAAGTCAAGGTTGGTGATTTATTCTGTTCCCCTTTATTAGTACATATGGACCGGTCGGTGACTGGCACGGAGGCTCCTAGCCGGCACTTTCTCCTTATGGGTCGGCCAATGCAGAGCTGGGATTTCAGGCTTTTTCTCTCAGCAGCTTCCTGGTTGTGGTAACCTTGACAAGTGCTGAGGAAGGACGAGGCGCCCCGGGTCACTTGTGACTGGGAGACATGTTAAAGGGCTCATGCTGTGATCTATATCGTCTCCTTCCTTCCCTGTGTGCAGGCTTCCAGCATACATTTATACAGAGTCACCATACATGTTACAATCTAGTGTATGTTTATCAAAGCTATGTAATATAGCCAATAAACTAATATAACCAATGTATGATATAATAATTATAACCTAATCAATCAATGTGTGTCCTGTCAGCCAGAGCTTTGCACTACATAGTTCTTGGTATTGTACAATCTCCTATAGAGCTACCACCAACTATGTAGTAGAAGGGCCTGCCTGATTCCAATTCTAGTGGATAGTTTAGAAGTGTCCTTATATTACATACATTTTGGTAAATCTAAAAAAGATTGTATGGTTACCTCAAGCCGGGTATACACAGTTCTGTTTTTTTTTTTCATTTGACCCATGGCCTGGATGAAACAAAAATTGAAACCGATTCCCCCATCAACGCTTATAAGCAATGATTGAGGAATCCCCACTGTTTCTATTGTATTCTGATAGTGGACCCCCGGCGTGGTCAGAATACCCGAACAGAGCCGGCAGCTCATTGGCTGTTGGCTCTGTTTGAAGATTTTCTGACCAGCTCCTTCAGGGCAGGTTCACACCATTTTCGGGACCAGATCTGGTCTCGAAAATGGTGTGAACTTGCTCGCAATTCCAGTACATTCCAGACCAGCCAAAACGAGACGCAGTGTTTTTCTGGCCTGGTGTGGAACAGACTGTGCTGGTGTGAACAGAAGCCAGAAATAGCATATGATACATTAGGATGCATTTTGGGTCTGGAGATCTGGTTGTGGTGTGAATGGGCCCTGAGGGTTTGTTTCCACCAGCCCGTGCGTCTACCGCAATGCCCCGTACCCGAAACGCAAGGGTTCACATACATAGTCTCCTTGCGGTCTGCAGTAGGGTAGTGCCATTCAAGTTAATGGTACTGCAGACAAACTGGCTGAAATGTACAGCCTACCGGTGATCGTAAATCAGACTGAATGTGCGGTCAGCTTTAGATTTTTCATAAACTTTTCAATCAATTTGTATCCAATCAGGTCCTTTCATTACATAGTTGTTGGTAGATCTAGAGGAGGTTGTACAATCCGATTGTAATGTGTGTGCTGAGCTATAGAATGCCATCAGTCATGTGTCAGGAGGAATACATGAATGGCACCAGGGACGCTGCTGCTGCTCAGAGGTTGTCAGCTACTAAATTACTGCTGGAGTTTATAGGCGTCTGTAACATGTCACTACCAGTACTGCAGAGAGAGAGACTTGATGGGAAGGAAAAACCAGTATAGGGGAGTGGTACGGGAACAACGTTTGGAAAAATCTGAATCTTAAGGACTCATACACACTGCGTATAACCATACATCGGTCATGTGCATAATACTTAAAGGAGAACTATGGGGTCAGGGCTTTTCCCCATAGTTCTCCTACGGGTCACGGGAGGACACAAACTAGCGTCCTCCCGTCACCCTAAGCTCAGTATACCGCGAGCCACATACTGAGACGCCGCAGCCCGGATGGATCCCAACATTTCTGTCTGGATCCATCCAGCTGCGTAATTCACAGTGGCTCTGCCTATCTAGAGGCAGAGTCAGCTGTGTCCGCCCCCTCCCCGTCCGTTCCGCCAGTCAGCGCTGGAGGATTAGACAGGGGGGGGGGGGGGGGGACTGGGCAGGCTGGAGGAGCGTCGTGTCACTGCTGTGGGCGGCGCTCCAGGTGGGGTCCTAATGTGGTTGGCCAGCGACCTCGTGAGGCACCTCCATTGAACAGGCAAGAGTGAGTAAGGGCCTGTGCTGGGATGGCAAAGAAGACAGTCAGTAGTTGCTCACGATAAGGGGTCCTCACTGTCTCTATGTGTATGCACCATGGGTATCAGTACCGTCAAGCACCCAGGGCACATGCCCACATCCCTGGGTGCTCAGGCTGCTTCCACCCACTGTTGATCTGTGGAAGTGGGTACAGAGGAGAGCTGGAGTGGAAGGGGGGGGGGGGGGAGGGGGGAATCCCTGCAGGTAGCCGTGAGTGACGGTCACGGCTCTCTGCAGGGATAGATGGAGAAGTGAGCGAGCGATGGTATGTGTTTGCTCACTTCCCGATCTACTGAGCCGAGGTGTGACAGTTTCATTGTCGCAGGTCGGCTAGAACTATGAGGATGAGTGATTTTCACTCGCCTCATAATTCTCCTTTTTAAGGGACACTAAGCTCAGGAGTTAAATCTTAAAGATACATCCAAGTACGGTACTATAACTATTAACAGGAATGTAACTTATGTATCAGTCGGCTGTAGATCCTCCAATCATCTCTGAATTGGTGCCGACACTGTCCTTCCTTCTGGAGGGTGTCTACTTTTGTTCCCCATGGTCCCTGTGTGTGTTGTAAAGTAACCACCGCTCCAAGCTCCGTCCCGTGATGGACTACAATCTCATGTTTAGTTCACTCATTTGTATTGAGATTGTAGTCCATCACAGGAGTGAGCTTGGAGCGGTGGCTACTTTACAACACACACACAGGGATCATGGGGAACAGAAGGAAGGACAGTATCGGCACCAATTCAGAGATGATTTGAGGATCTACAGCCGAGTAATACACAAATAAGATACATTTTTGTTAATAGTTAAGATACCTGAATGTATTTTTAGGATTGAACCTCCTGAGTTTATTGTCACTTTAAATGTCACATTGGCTGGAATCGAGCTGTGTTCAGTGGCTCTAAAAGCGTTCTTCTTTTTCTACCCGTGTGTATGAGACCTAAAGCAGAAATAAGCCATTGGCAAACAATAACAAGAATTGGGCCCCCAGGAGCTTTTCTCTGCACAGCATATCAGAACATTATGGCAGATTTAAGCCGGATATACACTGGTAGATTTTTGTACACGCGTTTATATGATATATATCATTAGAACATTCGATAATGTCATCAGACTTGATGAATGCTGTTCAAATTTTTATTTGATTTTAAGTCAGTTTTGGAATAAATGGATTTTCCTGAACGAAAACTACATTTACTGTTAGAATGTCATTTCTTTCCAGAATCACTCAGTTCCTCCATCCACACTAAATAGCATAGATGGAGCAATCTCCATTCTCCCCTGCTGGCTATTGTATTCTGACAGCTGGCAGCTGTGGCTGTCTGCATGCTCAAACACTGACTGCATCTGATTAGATGTGGTCACTGTTTGGCCAGTAGAAAGTGAGGATCACCAGCACTCAGCAAATGACCTTCAAATCTTAATGATGATTAAATCTTGATTATCACTACAAGCACCACCATTGTTATTGGTCCTAGATGCTGGGGGAACACATTGCTATACGTCACAGTTTGGCTGACATTTCTCCCTTCGGCTTCTTCCATTTTCTATTCAATGTTAGTCTAGCCAGGAGCTACCAGCAGGGCCACCCAAGGCACAAATTCATTGGATAGCCCATTGAAATGAATGGGCAGCATTAACGCAATGCATGTGAATGTGTGTGCAATTAACACACCACAGCAGATCAGGCCAGTGTGAGTGGGCCCTAAGGAAGACATAAACGTGTGGCAGGGAAAAGAAGAGGAGCTTCCACTGCTGGTCTGCTTCCAAAAAGTATCTGCCTGGCTATCCTACTGACCCATTGGCTTCACTGCCTCCAGTCACATTTGTATAATTGTAGTTATGGATGATTTTCCCCTCATTTCCATTCCTTGTGACACTGACAGAAATGGGAGGGAGAGAGGTGCCGTTGTCATTGGGGCAGGACCGCATAGACCGCATAGAATGTCAGAAGTTCCACACTTTTTTACACTGCTAAAAAATGCCTATTTGTCTGAATCACCATTGAACAGACTTCTCATCACTTCCTGTCTTGGCTGGAAGTAAAGGGAAATTGTTCAAATAGAGACACAGATGGCACTAAAAACCTCACGCAGGCTCTCACCTTTTCCCACGTTACGCAGATTGAAATACTGTAAAAGGTTTTATCTGGATTTAGGCCCCATCACCTTGCCCATTCCCCAACAGTGTCCATTCCCCCTCAGTGCCGCTCCTTCCACTGTCCTAACGACCACAAAATACTCACTGTTGGCTTGTGTCAGAGCTTACAAGGAGAGGGGACATCACTTCCTCCATCTTATGACAGTGCTCGTGTTAGCATTTGGCCACTATGCTCAAGCACTGCATCATGGGAGGAGGTCCCATTCTCTCCTATACATGGGAGCACCAAGTATTTCAAGGTGGCAGCCATGGTGGATGAAATGGTGGAGGATAAGTATCTGCGGGTAAGTATAAATAAGGTGATTGGGGGTAAGCTTACCATGAATGGGTTTTTTCATGTTTTGTGGATATCCACATTAGTGGTAACCTCATTGCTGAGGCACCTTTAGGTTAGATGTCTGTGTCACACCGGAGATTGCACATTGCTCACACACCCACTCCATAAAACAAGCAGAGTTATCCTGAAGTCTGACAACACACTGCCATATTGATTAGGCCCTGTTCACGCTAGTGCGATTTGTCCTGCGCCTGCTGTCACGCCGCACTGCATGACAATGGAAATCACATTATTCTTTATAGTGCCTGTTCACATCAATGCAACATGGTGCAGTGTGATATTTGGAAAGGTGTTGGTATTTGTTTTGGTGGTGCGCAGTGCATTTTTGGCCCCATAGACTTCAATTAAAGCGCATGGAAAATGCAAGCACAGGCCTTTTTGATGTTTTTTTTTTTTGGTGCATTTTTGTGTTTAAAGTCTGCTGAAAGAAAGGCTGGGCCTAATGGTGTCCTGGCAGATATCACTTGTCATGCATAAAAAATGCACATAAACTTGCCTAAAAAAAATGCACTGAAAAACGCCTAATCATTCAGCAGCACTCGTGTGAGCCCGGGCTCAGTGCTGTTTCCTGCTCTCCTATTATGAACCCCACTTTCTTTCCACTGGCACATACAGTGGGGCAAAAAAGTATTTAGTCAGCCACCAATTGTGCAAGTTCTCCCACTTAAAAAGATGAGAGAGACCTGTAATTGGCATCATAGGTAGACCTCAACTATGAGAGACAAAATGAGAAAACAAATCCAGACAAATCACATCGGCTGATTTGGAACAAATTTATATTTCCTCACCTAGCACCCGCCCTCCTTTCTTCTGCCTCCGGTGCTCTCACACTCCACTTTTCACTGCTTGTACTCGGGTCTATTTCTCCCACCAATTTCTACCCTAGTTGGCAATGGGTGCTTGTATGACATTTATTAAAGTGGATCTCCAGGCAATGCTAAATACATGGTTGAAATACTTATGTCTACTGTTTTACCCGTAACACCCTTAAGTGTGTTTTTTTTAAATTATTTTTTTATGAGAATGGGTTGAAGTTCAACCTTGCCTATAGATGGTCTTCTAACCCCTGTGTTAACCAGACTAGTTATTTAGCCTAAAGGATCACAATTTGATGAACAGGTTGACTACAATTTTCATGTGTATATCCCTCTTTACCTACTGTTCTCCGAGCATGACTCATTTGTCTTTGTTCTATGTCCCCATTCCTTTCCTCCCAACCCTGTCAGCCTCTCCATTTCTCCTTCATTCTGTTTTCTCAAGGATTGCTCAATGAACATTACTGAGTACTCGAGGACATTTCTTGCATGAGCAGCATCAGTAAACTTTCCACCAAGCTCTTTGTTCATCTCAGGCACAACATTATTTTTTAAAGTGATTGGGTGGCTACAGTACAGGAGTATAGTATTAATCCATAATATCACATTTGTCATTCTTTCCAGATTCAAGATGGTGGTCCTTTCCAAAGAACATGGGTATGTGCTTCTCACAGGAGCAGCCAGCTTTGTTCTGGTAACTCATCTGGCTCTAAAGGTGGGAAAAGCTCGCAAGCAGTACAAAGTAGAGGTAAGAAGCAGCCGCTTTCTTTAACTAGCCTATAGTTTTGTTTCCCAGAATAAAACATGAAAAAAACATGGGTCTTTCTAAGTTTTGTGGTATAGCAAGGCAGTGCTAAACAGGAGCAGTGAGACAGATTTTACTATAGGTGTTATTCACTAAGCTGCCGAAGGCAGCCAAATGAATAACCGCGCCAATGTGATGTCAGCCGAATCCTGTTCGGCTATTCACTGCAGCCGTGTACAGCTCACTTTACGTTCCTGTGGCTCAGCCGAACAGTCTCAGCACGAGGGGAAGAGCCCGTTCGCCTCAGCTGATGCAACATCTGGATTGGCTGAAGCGAACGTTCGACACGTCATTCCCTGGTGTTCACCCCTATTTTCTAAGGGGCCGAACAGCAGAGAGTAAATTGACGAATGTTCGGCTCATGCTTTCAGTTCCATCATTCTGTTCGCTACCTCAGAGGTAGTGAAGCAGAATGAAAACTGTGAAGGTAAACAAAAAAAACAGAGGTGGGGGTCCCCTCCCCGATTCATACCAGACCCTTGTAGGAATGTCAGGTGGGGCCCCCGATGTAAAAAAAAGTGGGGTTCCCCTACCAAGTGACACCAGACTCTATTGGGGACCCAAATGCCAAGAAAAGAAAAAAACATACCAGACACTTATTCCCAGCAGTGGCCTGGCAAAGGGGGGGATGAGTGCACGGCCTGCCCTCCTCTCTGTGCTATACCAGGCCACATGCCCTCGACCCCAATGCTTTTTTTTGGACATCTACCCCCCCCAAACATTTCTACCAGATCTAAAGGATCTGGTATGAATTGGTAAGGGGAGCCCCATTGTGTTTTTTGTTTAATCCTATTTTTTGACGACCTTCATTGCTTCAGTCTGCTTGGGTGGATCATTCTGCTCACCTGGGCTGTTTTTATTCGGCTTTGCCGAGCCGAAGCAAGTTCGTTTGGCTTGGTTGCATTTGGGTGTTTACTTCAGCTGCTGTAGGCGCTATTCTCAATGGAACCGAAGGGTTTCTACCATCGAAGCGAGCTGAAGGATTAGCCGAACGTTGGGGCAAATCCTTTGGCACTTTAGTGAAGGACCCCCTATGTGTTCAGCTTGATTCATAAACTCCCCCCTTTGTTGCTCCAAAGTAGCACTTGACAGAATGAAACCTGCAGAAAGTGAAGCTAGAACTCCTGATCTTCCTTGATCACTGTTTTGGTGAGTAGTAGAGCCATTGGGCCAGCATGAAGGCCTGACAACCAAAACTTTGAAGAGAGGTCAGCAGTATTAGCCTCTATGTTCCTCTCAGTATAGAATAATGTTAATCTGAGACATGATACTGCTTACCTCCTGCATAAAAGACCAGGCATAGCAACATTTCCTATGTGAAGAGTGACAACCCTTACTCCCTTAGACGTGCAGAAAGTTAGATATATATTTATTGTATTTAGTAATAGCAGGAAGTGACTGTAGAATTCTTGGCTTTTTTTCTTATTTCACGTAGATATAAAGTCCCTTTTCTAATAATATCTCTCTTGCAGTGTTTTGTGGCCAGCTCACCAAGGTGGGGCAGTCGCTCCTAACCTTTAGCATGGTTTGCTTTAGGAACAGCAATTTAGGGTGTGTCTGATGCAAGAAATATTGTTCTTAAGTAATTTGATATAGCAAAGGCAAAAGAAATGCTTTTAGACCTTTGGCATGAATAACAGAATGAACTGTAATTCAGTGTCAATCTCTCCAAGGGAAGTAGGTACTTCAGGTTTTTGGTAAAATTGACATGTACAGCAATCGCTTAGTGTATGTGTGAACCTAGATAAAGTGGGTCATTTAGGTTTTTGATATGTTCAGCAATGTGAGCAATGCCTCCATAATGTGTGTATCTGACCAGGACACACGCAAAACAATGTTAGTATGTGACCAAAGCAAAGTGTAATCTAAGGGGAAGAAAGAGGTTACAATCTCATAAAAGGTAAATTTAATGTGGATAAGGTTAGTGCTGTTCAGTATATCAAAATCAGAATAAGCAATAAAGTTCCAAAACACACCTTACACCTATAAATTATCTGCAGATTGTCTATGGTCAGATGGAAAACGTGCAACAGATTCCTCCGTCTACGCTAAACTGTGTGTATGGAGGAATCTCCCGCTGGGCCAAGCTTCAGTATCTTGCTAGTCGGCCCCCCTGGCTCTCAAAATACCTGAACAATGCCTGCATCCAATCAGATTGTTCAGATGTTCCTCGGCATCCTCGCATTCCAATACAATGTATTGGGCGTGATGACTGGAGGACTCTTAGACCGCTGCAGCGGACGAGGACTATCAAGGGACCGGTCCAAGAGCAAGCCGGTTCGGAAACTCATGTATGTATGTAATTTAAAATTTTCGTGTTCGATTAATCGATTTTTTTTTTCATCGATTAATTATAACGCACATACAGATCCAACTACATTGGCCTATACACATACAGCACCGCAATGAAGTAATAAAATGAACTAGGATCACACTAATCCAGCACGTTATTAATCTCACGTGCCCCACTCAATATGGCCGCCGCTTAAGTGGGGCAACTCAGAATAATAACGTGCTGGATTAGTGTGATCCTAGTTAATTTTATTACTTCATTGCTGTGCTGTATGTGTATAGGCCAATACCTTGGCTGGCGCTAGTGCAGAAAGTTTCTTGGGCAAACTCACCGGCCCAAGTGGCTCTGTCGGCTAACGAAGGGGGAGGAGTCCGGTGATGTCACCGGACTCCTCCCCTTCCCTTCATTAGCCGTTACGGACATCGACGTCACCGGACTCCTCCCCCTTCCCTTCATTAGCCGTTACGGACATCGATGTCACCGGACTCCTCCCCCCTTCCCTTCGTTAGCCGTACTTCTATGACAGAAGCTGCAGTTAGTGACCGCTGAGACAGGTGGCGCTGTGATTACAACACCACGGTCTCAGTGATCACACAGAGCAGACGAAGAACGTCCATTTTTCGTCTGCTCTATGGTGATCTTGATCGCCGCCGCTGCTCGGTTTTAATACAAGTGATATAATTAGATCACTTGTATTAAACAAGCAGTGGCTCCTACTGTACATTTAGCTCTGCTTTAGCTGGGCTAAATGTAAAAAAAAAAACTACTCGCCCGGTGCCCGAAACTGCATGTCTCGGGCGTTGAGATTCGCTCCATAAGACGCAGGCACATTTCCCCCCTCCTTTTGGGGTGAAAATTGCGTCTTATGGAGCCAAAATATATATATACACACACACACACACACACACACACACACACACACACACACACACTGTGTGTGTGTATATGTATTTATTTTTGTTTTGCAAAAACAAGCAGTTAACCCTTGTAGTGTGGGTGCAGCTCCACTGCAAGGGTTAATAAAATTTCTGCCCAGTGTTCTTTAATCATGCAGACTTGGTAACTTTACCCGGTAGTAACCTTCTATTTGAAACCTTTGGTAACTACATTTCTTGAGGCTGAGATGTATGTTGGACTTATGTGTCTCTTATTTTTGAAAGAGTAATTTTGGGGATTAGTGATATTGTACTTGTTCATTTTTATTCCACAAGTATCCCGCAATGTACAGTGATGACCCGGAAAATGGCCAGATCTTTAACTGCATACAGCGGGCACATCAAAATACGTAAGTCATTGTGTCCCAGATTTTATTTATAGCCTTACTGATCAGTAGCACTTTTATATAGAATGAGATGTAACAGCTTTAAAGTAGAACTGTGACCTCTTATGTAAAAGGAAATGTGCTGAAGTTTTCTCTTAGTCCCCCTGTAAAGTCCCATGAATGCCTGTTGATCCTGCCAGTGAAGTCCACCTCATGCAGCTTCCTGTCATATTGTGACTCTCATGTAGGCTGTTCCTGCTTGCACTACAGTGGGAAGAAAAGATGTTGCAGGGGCATGGGTATCCGCATTGACAAGTTACTGGCTTGTGAGCCAGGAGTGACAGTCATCACCTGGCCACACCGAGTCCTGCCCACTGCTTTCCAAATTCAGTACTGCCTCTGCGGTTGAAACACTCCTACTATGAGCAGCAATTTCTGGGAAGGGAAACACAAATGAAGGAGGTTTTGGCTCACTTAGGCTGGGTTCACACCTAGGCGTATCGAATATGCGCGTTTGTCACGCGTTACGTGTCACGTGTTTTTACCACGATTCGCGGTAAAAAAAACTTGTGCCAAACGGTCGTTTCCAAGGACTACCTGTCTGTATCCCAATGGATACGCGCGGCAAATACGCCCCAAATAAGCTTCTGTACTTCTTTGGGCGTAGGGCGTTTTGTAGCGCGTTCATACGGCCTGTGATACGCCCAGGTGTGAACCATACCCATAGGAAATAATGAGATTTCAGTGTTTGAGCGTTTTGCAGAGCGTAGGAAGGCGCTACAAAATGCCCAGGTGTGAACGGGGCCTAAGGCCTGGTTCACACCTGGGCGTTTTACAGCGCGTTCCTACGCTTTGTAAAACGCTCAACATGTGAAAACCAATGATTGCCTATGGGCATGGTTCACACCTGGGCGTTTTACAGCGCGTAGGAACGCGCTGCAAAACGCCCAAAGAAGTGCAGGAGCTCCTTTGGGGCGTATTTGCCGTGCGTATCCATTGGGATACAGCCAAGTAGCCTTCGGAAACATGAGTTTGTCACGCGGTTTTGAATAGCGCGACAAACGCGCATATGCGATGCTCCTAGGTGTGAACACAGCCTTAGAGAGAGAAGGTAAGATACGCATTTGTTTACTTTATAAGGCTTGGTACTTGTTCAGATACAGGAACCTTTAGTTGTACCTGCGGCGAAGCCATCACTTCACTCTACCCCCCTATTTACCCCTTAGCAATGCATTCATAACCAATAACTATAGTCCATGCACCTTATCTCCACCACACATGCTATCTCAGAATTCAATTACTGACTAGAAAATTTTCTTTATCTCAGAATTGAGCTGCACCCCTATGGGAGTCCTAGCTAACGTTCAAATTGTTGGGTTCCAACACTTTTAAATGGAGAAAGTGTTCCCTTATAAACCTGGAGCGGGTGTTTATAGCAGACACCTAAAAGTGTTTGTTCACATACCCTGTGCCGCTCGTCACTCCCCGAAGCTGTGCTTGGCTTTCTCTCTTCCCTCACTGTTTGTCATTGAACCTGTCCATTATAGTATTAGACCACCAGTGAAACATTGGAGGTTCCTGGAGGGATATCTGTGTGGTTGTAGAAAAGAGCCGAGTACAGAACAAATCCCCTGCTGAATTGAAGCTGAATGGGTGTCACTTTTAGGGCAGGCAAATGTTAATGAATTTACATTCGATTACCTCTGATCTGTCACGGTCCTGTCCAAAAAAAAGTAAAACTTTTTCCTTTTTTTGTACCTAGATGGACTAAGCAGTGATCTGATGTGTTTTCAACTATTACTGAGGTTGTTACACTGTCTTTGAGGGCCGGTGCAGACCTGGGCGATCCAGGACGCGTGTCCCAGGACCACGCGTTTGTGCACAATTGCATACAGTGATTTCATGGGGTTACATCCACGCGGCAGTCGCAGCAAAAAGGTACATGTACCTTTTCTGCAACACGCAAAGTGCGTCTGTTTTAGCATGTTTCTAATGGCACCCCAGTCACGCCGATTGGATTGTGCGGTTTATTTGTTTACTGATTTAAAAAAGAACATGTCTAGCCTCATGACTAACATTTCATTCTCTGCATTTATGACAACGAAAGGTTTAGTGTTGTAAAGAAACCAAAATGTAACAGATCAGTGAACTTTATACTGTCCTTAGACAGTCTAGATCTATGAATACCATAACTAACACTGCTGCAAAATCTTGTATTTACAGTTTGGAACAATACTCTTCCTTTTTATTTTTCCTTGCTGCTGGAGGACTTACACATCCTGTAAGTGATTATTATTTTTAGCTCTATGTATTATTCTTGCCTGTGTTTAGCATATCTCATATTGGTTTTTGCTAATCGGGTTCAAACATTTGAATTTTCCACTTTGGATCAAATGTTTTACATATGCAGTACTGTATATTCATTTTCAAATCAAGTTTAATTCTGATTCTGGAATTTTGGTACCAGACTGAGCCTAGCACCAACGCTCAACTTCAGCCAAAATGTATGCTACCATGCAAATAAATACTAACACTGATACTAGCTCCAAAAATACTACTGTGATGAAAATGTCATGCTTTGTAACTTTTACTGTGTTCCACATGAACGACGCTAACAAATCTATGCCATGCAGTGATCCCATGTCCACAACAAAGGCATAGTAAAAGATGTTTTGCTAAAGTGTGATAAACACCTATGTAATTATAATGAGATCAAACCAACCATCCTTTGATTAATGTGCCCTCCACTAGTTTTGGGTTGGTGAAGCTTGACCTATTCTTTCTGTTAGTGCCTGGAACTGGTATGTTACACAAGATTTGTGGAAATTTACATCAGAGCAACATTGCATAGGTGTTTTGCTTTGATGAGAGTCCATTAAAAGATAACAAACAAGTGTCTGCTGTGTCATATGCCATGGGGTCAATGATGGGTAAAATCTCAGTAGGAGGGCTTGGCACACCAAAAAAAATAGTGTAGCACCTGGGCTCTGAATTTTGCACTGTGTTAAAACACTTGTGCTGCGATCATAATGGCTAATGATCATATGTTTAACAAGTTGAGCTTTAGGAAGTTCTTTTAAATAAGAATAGGAAACATAGTGAATTTGCTGGAGCAGGTAGCACAGGGGAAAATGCCAGGTAAATGCAACACAGCACACTTTGCTGACTATCAGAGAAGAACCCCGATTATTTCACTGTTGGCTTTAATTGCCCATCACTTAAAGAATGTTACTTTAAGTAATGTTTCCTTTAGATGAAGCCAACATGGTGGAATACTTAAGGTGGCCATGCACTTTACAACCCTGGCAAGACTTTTGTCTTGCCAGGGTTGTAAAGTAATTTAAAAAAAGTACGATCTGCCCATCTTGGACAGGCAGATCGTACTTGCGATCATCGCAAGCCCGCCCCCCTATCACTGCAATGAGGGGCGGGCTTCCGATGACTGCAAACGGGCAGTGTGCGCATGTGCACACCGGCCCGTTCGGCAGTTGTCAAACAAGCAGGCCACTAACTCGTACGATTCCCGGCGGGTTTCCCAGCCTGCTTGTTCGACGGAAGACGTGCGACCGTACAGTAGAAACGGTCGCACGCCTTCCATACACTTTGCGATTATCGTACGATCGCAGGATTTCCCGCAATTTTCGTACGAGAATCGTACAGTGTATGGGCACCTTTACCCTCTTCCTTTTCCAGTATGCTGTCATGGGTATAGACCATCTAAATGAATGAATGTGGTCACAGGGCATATGTGTACTTGGAAGAGAACCTTGCCAGAACATTTTGCTGGAAAATACTGTGTGGTGACTGGTAGGGCTGAAGATCTCAGGAACAGGGAAGGGAATATTTCACCACGCAGGTTTTACCGACCTGAGCGGTAGTTACTTAATGTACCGTGGTCATTTAAGACTGTTAGGTTTTTTTTTTTTGTTTTTTTTTTAAAGTAGGCTATTCTGATTACCTAAAGTTTAAACTTTTTTGCATCGCTACATATTTCATTTGCATATTGTATTGTATTTGAAAATCTGTTATGTCTTCTTAAATGCATATTCTTACAAGTTATTATTCCTATTTGTATTCTGCTTTTACATCTATTCAAACATAATAGCCTGAGGTTCCTTCTACCATCCTCAAAAATTAACGATTTTATATTCCTACAGCGTGCTGCTAGCGCTCTGGGAGTTGTGTGGATTATTGGCAGAGGGCTTTATGCCTCAGGATACTCTACAGGTGGTAAGTGCAGAAGCTGATTCATTTAATGCCCTTAGTATAAATGCACAATTGTGCTTAGCACAAACATGGCCATCTGGCAGCTTGTGAGTATACATGTGGCCAACTTTGATCAATACACTGGGTCATAAAGGACTTGTCAATCCTCCCTACTCCTTGGCAGGAACATCAGTTCATATAGTTCTTCCTTATATATGAAATTGGCTTGCAGCTTTTTGCACCAATCATGACACAGTGGACAAAAAAAAAAGGGGGCTTACTGTGAAGTTGTGTAAACAGAGTAATGCACTTGTTCCACTATAGCAAATAGAGGCTACCATAGTGTGTCAGACCACACTTCAATGATGTGCCTGATGCAGCCCTGTGTATGAAAAGCCTGGGTCAGAAGACCTAGCATTTCATACATTATGCTCATTGTGAGAAGTTGCAACTCAGAATTGTTTATGCCAAATTGAGTTTGTACATTAACACGTATAGATAACAATTAGCAGGTCATTCATTTGAACAGATAGCCCTGGGGCACATTATTACCTACCTGTGTGATTTAAATATTGGAGTTACATAATTTATAGAATTACTAACTAAAAGAAGGCTTCCTTGTTGAGTTTGTGAGTGTCTGTGATCTCTAAAGCATATGCCAAGTCATAAGGTGAGGAAGGATTGGAAGTGTCGAGATTTTACGGCTATCCAGGGAGAGAGATTTGCACCCACTTTCTGTTCTGCTGACAATGGTTTTACCAGACAGGAAATGAGGGAAACTCTGTAACAGCAACACATACAGAAATAAAAATCTGACAGGTTTTCTAGCCTCCACCTAGCATTTGTATTTGTCTGTGTTGCTGTTGGAGGGTTCCTCTCACTTCCTGTTAGCAGGGCACAAAGTGAGGAAAAATCTGTTTAACGAAGCTCTGGGTACCAGTGAGAAACTGACTGGGGGCTTTAACACTTACCCACGCTATCCGAAACTAAGAAAAAAAGGTTTTGGCTAGATATAGACCTTGGGGTTGGTTTATGAAACTTCCGTCCATCAATATGCTAGGTGAATGCCGATTACACGGCATTAACGCCAGTAGATGAGGCTCATGAGCATATGAAGTCCTTGCATCTAGTGGTGGGAATCCTGTGTGCCCAACATATGGCTGGGCAGAAGTTTTATAAATCCTCTCTAAGTCACATGGGAACATTTTAGTAATAATGGGTGTATACAAAAAAAAAACTATACATGAAGAGTTAAATAGTCTAGGGATGCACCAATACCATTTTTTTAAGACAGAGTACGAGTACCGATACTTTTCCTCAAGTACTCACAGATTCCAATTACCGATACCCTTTTTTTTTTATTAATTTTTTTTAGTGTCATGTGACATCTTTTCTAAAACCAATAGACTAATGATTTTTAGAACAGTGGTGGAGCGCCAGTGCTCAGTCGCAGCTGCAACCGCTCTGACCCTGGTAGTTCTGCCACTGACTACAAGCTATAAGAGGGACTACGAATCCCAGCAAAATATTATACAGCAATGCAGAATAATATTAAGCTACATACTCTGTCTCGCCAGGGCTGCACATTGTCGCCAGGGCTGCATGTGGTCTCACGAGAACTGTGCATTCACCAGGGCTGTGTGCAGTGTCTCCCAGGGCTGTGTATAGTGTCTCACTAGGAATGTGCATTCTCACCAGGACTTCATGCGGCCTCGCTAGGGCTGAGTATTCTCCCGAGGGCTGTGTTCAGTGTCTCCCCAGGGCTGTGTTCAGTGTCTCCCGAGGGCTGTGTTCAATGTCTCCCCAGGGCTGAGTATTCTCCCCAGGGCTGTGCATTCTCACCAGGGCTGGGTATAGTGTCTCACTAGAGCTGTGCATTCTCCCCAGGGCTGTGTGCGGCATCTCTCTAGGGCTGTGCAATTTCCCCAGGGCTGTGTGCGGCATCTCACCGGGTGGTTCGTGGTCTTGCGGGTGCATGCCATGGGGCAGAGAAAGAGGAGACGGCAATGTGCGGCCGGACTGGCTCTGTAAAAGACAGCCGCCGTGTGGTCCCCACAAGGCTGCCAAAGTTCCCAGCAAGCGGGACCTCAGGCAGCCGAACCCATTAAAAAAATTAAAGCGCCGCTATCAGCGCGTAGTAATGGGGCATTTTCATGAATACGAGTACTCGTAAAAATACCCAGTATCGGCATCAGTACCTATACTGGTATCGGTGCATCCCTTGTTAATACACTAAAACCAATCTAATATACAAGTAGATGGCTTCATTATTCTCACATCTTCTATAACTAGTGTGACAATGGCACAAGGTCCAGTGATATACCCCGCAGTGTAACAGGACTAACACTGACTAGTTTTTTTTCTATACACTAAATGTGGAAAAAGCTTTTCGAAAAGGTTAGCTGGATTTGACTGCAGAATGTAAGGACGATGTGAAGACAAGCATAGGTTTATAACATTTTACAAATGGATTCAATCTGATGACCCCATGTGTACATTCAAAGCATTTTTCTACCACAATGGAACATGAAACAAACATTGGAGGTGTAAAAAAAGGGATCATAGCAGTCTGTTTAGCTTTGCTTGCAGATAGTATTCTTCTGTTGCTCCCTAACCCACATACGGTAGTTTAGTATACCAAAAGACAGCATATAGGGTATAAATATGTATGATTATAGAAATACAAAGCACCTTCATGTAGGGTGCTAGGGAAAGAATAAAGAAAAGGACCCATATGTCACTACTTCTCCAGTTCACTTATAGCTTTGGTGGCATATAAAAAAAGGGCAAGTAAAACAAAGTCCTCTTCTAAACTTTATGTGGTGAGAAATCCTTGTTCTCCGCCAGATTCATTGGAATAAGCATACCCAGAAATGCTTGGCAGCTTTGTTTGACGAAGAATAATTCAAAAATGATCAACTAAGATTAGTTAGAAACCTACTTTAAGGAAAATCCATACTGATTTAATATGTAGGTTACCATTGCTAAGCCCTACTTTAGAAAATGCTAGTTTCCTGGCTGTTATTGATAACGTATATACTTTTTGAATTACTGAGCAGGAACAATTATAGCTTCGCTCAGTACATACTCGCTTCCAGGTCAGCAACTCTCTTTTTTTAAATCAAAGAATCAGAATTACAGGCGGCCAGCTTGCATTTTCAGAAGGGAATTAGCAATTTATTTGCTCCTATTTTTTCAGTATAGATTTCTTTTAGGGGTCCATATATATGCGATGTGTCAGAACATACATGTGTCAGAACTGTTCTATATGGGGTCCATTAAACCATGATCTTGAGCAAAAGTCTTTCTAGTTTTGATATCACAGTAACAACTGTTTTCTGTACTAGATCCAAAGAAACGTTCAAGAGGAGCCATTGGTTCTTTCGCCCTGATTGCTCTGTTTGGTACTACAGTATGCTCCGCCTTCAAATTGCTTGGTTGGTCATTTAACCCAAAGACATGGGCCTAAACCAGGAAAAGACAGTACATGGGGCCAAAGGTGCTAATTTGTATTGCTGATTCGGTTTCTGATGTATTACCTTTTGCATTGTATGGAATAATGTAAGACTTATGCAAAAATAAGTATAATATCGAATTAATCTGTATTTTCCTAAATAAAATTTTTAAACATTTACAGTATTGTTGTTTTTTTTTAATGTACAGACGATTCTGAAAGCTAGGTATAGACAACCTGATAACTTAAAGTAACTGCTTTTACATAAAAATGGAGAGGGAAAAATATAGTAACATATAATAGGAACAGATCTGGGCTAAATCATTGTAAGTCAGCAGGCAACTTTGACTAATTAAACTCCTGCGACTATGGGCCAGAGAAATGTTCAGCTGTGGATCAATTGATTTGGCAGTAATGTTTTAATTACTTATTATGCAAAAAAACCCAATGCATATATTGGTATTGACTTTGATTACGTTTTCTCACTGCTGCTGGTCTTCATATGGCAACTATCCAAATAATCCTTTCCTCAGCCTGACTTTAGAGTGCCATACCACCCCACTGGACATGCGGGGTTAGGCTGGAATGCACCCTTCAAGACACTGGGTTCTTCTTCTTGTGGCCCTTTCCAGACTGCCAGGTACTAGAAAAGGTTAACTGCAGAACACTTTCCAGGTCCAAAGCCATGGCATTGCCTCACCACTTGTCTTGTTTATGAAGACTCTTGAGTAGGCCAGTCAGGCTGAACAACCAAAGCTGCCTCACTAGTTGTACCACTGGGTGTTGTAGTGGGATTTTGATATTAACACATATATTTTATATTGACATTACTTAACATATGTATTATTAATTAGCAGTTACATAACATAATCTTAGGAACCTGTAGAGTATCTTGTTACATTAGAGATTAGTGATGAATTCAAACTTTAGAACATGGGAGAAGTTTGAATTCAAACTCAATGCAAGTCTATGGGGCTAGAACTTTGAAAATTAATTGACCCCATTTTGAAGGCTTTTATATGCAATTTAATGGTAATAAGTGTATGGGGATTGGGGTACAGCCCTGGGGGACATGTATCAATGAAAAAAAAACACTTTTAAAAAATACCGTTTTTAAAGGAGTAGTGATTTTAACTTCATTTAAAGTGAAACAATAAAAATGAAAAATTCCTTTAAATATCGTGCCTGGGTGGTCCCCTTAAACTGCCTATAAAGTGGCGGATCTGTGCAATTTATAGAACCTGCTGCAGCAAAAATGACATTTAAAAAGAAAAAAAAAAGCGTGCAGTTCCCCCTCCCAAACAATACCCAACCCTTTAGGTCTGGTAGGAATGTTAGGAGGGACACCATGTAAAAAAAAAGTGTGAGGTTCCCCTTCAAAGTCATAGCGGGCCCTTAAGGTCTTGTAGGAATTTTAAGGAGGAACCTGACCCCCAAAAACGGGGGGGAAAAGTGGGGTGCCCCCTAATATTCCATAACAGACCCTTGATCTGAGCACAGGCGTGGCAGGGAAGAAAAGAGGGGAGGGGGACGAGCGAGTGACCCCCCCCCCCTTGCGATACTAGGCCACATGCCCTCGGCACTGGAAGGGTGCTTTTCTAGGGTCGCCCCTGGAAAAGCACCTTGTCCCCATCCCGATGTGGACAAGGCCTCTTCCCCACAAGCCCTGGGGCATTGATTGTGGAGGTAAGGTGCAAAAAACAAAATGGATCCGCCAACGTAATACTGGAGCCAATCACGACGTCCAGCGTTGTCCAGGACTACTCGCCGAAATAAAAAGTAAATAGAAATAATATCGAATTTTTTTTTTTTTAAAGCTGTCCCGTCTGCTTTAGACGTACTCCCGCCACATAATGTCATTTTGAAAGATGCCGGCAACATATAAACAATTGGGCGGAGCTAGCTCCGCTCAACTGTTGACAGTTGTACAGCATCTGACAGGTGAGCCATGGTTGGCTCTAAGGCTGGGTTCACACCTCAGCGTATTGGAAACTCGCATTTGCTGCACGTTTCTACCGCGATTTGCGGTAAAAGAAACGCATGGCAAACGTGAGTTTCTGAGCGGGTATCCGGCTGTATCCTAATGGATACAGTGGGATATGCGCGTCAATACGCCCCAAAGAAGCTCCTGTACTTCTTTGGGCGTAGGGCGGTTTCCCGCGCGTTCGTATTCGCGGAAAAACACCCAGATGGGAACCATGCACATTGAAAATAATGGCATTTCCCTGTTTGAGTGTTTTTCCGCGAGTACGAACGCGCGGAAAAACGCCCAGGTGGGAAGCGGGCCTTACAGAGTACTGGGCCCTGATCGCCGAAAACACCAACTGCCGATGTTCAAGTCGAACTCACACTCGACTCAAACATTGAGCCTATCTCTATTAGAGATACGTATTTAACACTGAACTATTCTTGCATATTATGGTGTAGTTACATAAACTATTGTACATAGTTTTGTATAACTTTGAGCACACATTTAAGCAGATACATTTAAAACATATCTCTTCATACTGGCAATGTTTTATAGAGAATAATGAGTGAGTAAACTGTTTAGTCTTGCATTCACATATACACATAGGGGGGAATTTATCAAAACTGGAGCAGCTGTGCATAGCAACCAATCAGCTTCTCTCTTCAGTTAAGACTCGGAAGGATTTTCCCACTTTTAGTGCCGATCTAGTGGCCCACCATGCCAGGGCAAACCGGGTTCTGCTGGTTAGGTGGGTGGGCCGATCAGCATACTGCACCCTCTTGTCTCATGCTGCTAGAATGTTTAACTTCAACAGTCTGGAGTGCAATTTGGCAATTGGAACTGCCTCGAAGGAGGACATCATGAGGTCTAAGATCTTAATACAAAAACAGAGGGTTGGCTGGCTCCTGGATTGCCATGTCCAAATGTGGGAGTGGAAAGGCTGGAGTTTGTCCAAGTGAAGGACATGGCCTTGTCTGGGATTAGGCCCAGATACTCCCAAGAAATGATATGGTTCTACCACTTGACTTCTGGATATTCAGAATGGCCCTGAGGTCTGCACAGTCTGTTGGATGTGGGTTTTGAGTCTGAGTCAACTCTTCCCTCAGAAGACGGTCGTCCAGATATCTCACTATGGCGATTCCCTGTAAGCAAAGCAGGAGCAAAACCCAGGTAGCGTATATGCACTGTGAAGATTGGGACATGCAAATAGGTATCCATGATGCTCACAGAGGCCAAAAGGTCTTCCAAATGCAGGGGAGGAATTAATGACCAGGTGGATTCCATGCAGAATTTTTCTATCTAGATGAAGGGGTTGAGAACCTTTAGACTTCTGATGCGGCAGATGCACTCTTTTGCTTTGGGGTCCTTTTCCAGGACAATTGTTATGACTCCTTGAGAGCTGCATAAAGGTCCGCCAATCTTTATGGCCAGTTTGATAACATAATGCAGGGTTAAGGCAGACACTGAAATTCTAGTTTGTAGCCTTAGGATACAACATTATTATTACCCAAACATGTGAAATCTCCTAGGACCAGGTGGCTGCTAAGGCCAACAGATACCCCCCCCCCCCCCCCACCCAAAAAACGGGAGCGCCCCCGCCACAACCATCGCAAGACCTTAGTCCTGAGGGGCGGGCTTCCGATGACCGCAATGCTGAACAGGCAGTGTGCGCGTGCGCACACCGGCCCGTTCTGCATTTGTCTCCCGAGCATCATTCAAACCAGCTGAAAATCGTACGCTTTTCGGCTGGTTTTCTAGCGTGCTCCCTAGACAAAAGACGTGCGACCGTACAGTAAAAACGGTTGCACGTCTTCCATACACTTTGCGATTATCGTACGATCGCGGGATTTCCCGTGATTATCGTGCGATAATCGCACAGTGTATGGGCACCTTTAGAGTTCCAGGACTAATGGGGGAACTAGGTTTCAGGCTTTACCTTGGACTTGGAGACCTGAGAGGAACAAAAGGAACTCTTAAAGTGCCCATACACCTTACAATTATCTGCAGATTTTCTGTGGTCAGATGGAAAAAGTGCAACAGATTGGCCCAGGTGGAGATTACTCCATCCACACAGTAAAGCGTAGATGGAGGAATCTGTTGCACCTTTTCCATCTGACCACAGAAAATCTGCAGATAATTGTAAGGTGTATGGCCAGCTTTAGCCTCGGGAGTAGAAGATTTCCCAGGTGGAGATTTTGCTTTCTTTTTCTAAAGCAAATGGGTGCTTTTCTACACGGTGACCTTATTGATAAAGTTGTCCAGGGATTTGCCAAAGAGGAGTTTCCCATCAAAGGTGTCCCTTGCACTGATGCTTTGAAGACCAACATGTGAACCAAAGTGTTCTTTGCATATGTATTGAAGAAAAGGGCCGATTCTGGAAATCTGGAGAATATGCAGTAGCCCATCAATGCAATACATTTGGGCCACATGCATGAGCTTTAGCTGCTAGAGGACAGAAGGATTAGTTACGACAGAACCAGAACCCCAGGACATGACAGGGTCTGGCAGATTGACATGATTGCAATGGCAGGTTGTAGAGCTGGGTCTTAAAAAGGGCTTCTAGCCTTTTGTCCACCAGGTCAGGGGTGTGGAATTCCTATCGCCCGACGCCCGGGACAGGCAGTTTTGGGCGCCGGGCGAGTAGTTTTTTTCTACATTTAGCCCGGCAGCGGGCAAGCAGCACGGCTAAATGTAGTGTGGGAGCCGTTTTGTACAAGTGATTTTGAACGGCTGTACAGCCGACCAAAACCACTTGTAACTTGCCTGAATCTCACTCCCCTCTCCTTTCTCTCTCTCCGGTGGCCAGCCGTGTACCGCTCTCGGCTTTCTCTCTCTGCTGGCTTCTTTTGCTGTGGTCTTCGGGGTCCCCCCCCCCTCTTGTGGCAAATTAGGTTAGAGAGCAGGGCAGAGAACGCTTCTCTACTCGCCTCCATGTGAATAGTGACACGGGAATGCAGCCTTCCTGTCACAAGAGGAGAACTGTGCTAGAACTCCTGTGTTGGAGGTGACAGGTCAATAAAGAGAACCTGTCACACCCCTTGTGTGATTAGCAATAAAGTCAAGTGAAAGAAAAAAACGGTTTTGGTTAATTTTTTTTTTCTTTTTTTGTATCAGGACAAGTAGATCGGCCCCCCGCTTTAGTCCTTGGCCAAGTAGTTTTTCTTAAAATTTGCACACCCCTGCAGGTCATTAAATAGAAGGTGGT